TCTGCTCCCTTAGCCTCGATGTATCGATGGTTCTGGCTGTGTGATGGCTGAGTGTCTCCCTGGCGCGACCACCGTTGCGGTGGTTCCCTTGCGTTGACGCGCTTGCTCCTCACAGCGCAGTTGGCAGCGCCGCAGCTTGTATTACACATAGACGTGACATTAACTTGCTAATCTCCCTAATCTCTCTGTGTAATCTCGTCCATTAACATAGTACTAATTTCCCATTAACACTGCTGCTCTGCGCATATGCGGGGACGATACTCTTATGCGGCAACGAAAGCTCATTTCATGCTAATCTCTTTCTCTAATCTCTCTCTCCCTTATCTACCCCATTAACACAACTGACATGCCTGCGTGCGGGATGGAATTCCTTTCCAGCTCGGACCCCGCCTGCTTGCCCTTGGCCAACATATATAACCTCTTGTTGTAACAGCTATCTCGCTGTGTTTCTTCCTGTTTAAGCAGTTCCACTGCTGGATTATTTTTTCCGCCTGAGGACGATCGCTTGTGTTGCGATCGAAACGTCGTGATGTTATTTATTTTATTTTTCTACCTACGTGACTTTACCGAAAAACCAAAGAGTATGGATTCCTGCAGTCACAAAAGCTTAAAATCAAGATTGGTACGAATACGAAACACATGAGCAGACACACGACGCTTGTTTCCCAGATTAATCTCTACACATAAAAATGAAACTTATTTTAATAAAACTCATATTCTGGACAGCGACAGTAATGGTTATTTTGTGTTTTGTATTATTTAGTTTGCCGTTGAACGAGGAACCATATCTGCCAGCATCCTTGCCAATAAATGTCTGGTAGTTCACATGCATTGGATCAAGCTATCCTGATTCTGCTGATGAAACACTGAATATCAAAACGGTTCTGAGTTTGCATGTGTAATGCGAGCAAGGGTTGAGGGGGGGCGGAGTCTGGGTCACGTGAGGAGAGGGAGGAGTTAAGGTCACGTGGGGGAGAGGATTTAGGGGGAGAACCGGAAGGGGATCGGGGAGTTGAGACGGAGTGAAACGGGAGGCCACGCTGGGCAGTACGGGGAGGGTGGCGCGATCGCCACGCGTCGGGAGACGTCGGCACCGTCGACCATCGGTGTCAGGACGCAGAGGGCTAGCGGGCTGTGGAAGGCTAGCTGCAGTGCGGAGCAGCAGTGTGGCTGCAGTGCGGAGCAGCAGTGAGGCTGCAGAGCGGAGCAGCGGTGTGGCTGCAGAGCGGAGCAGCGGTGTGGCTGTGGAGTGATCGTCGGAGGAGACGCGGGCCTGAGCGAGGACGCCGTGTGAGCGACATTTATACGAACCCAAATAAAGGACAACGGAGATCGACTCTGAGAAAGAGTCCTTTATTACACATGTATTGCAAACTGTATTGAACCCAATGCTGTTGGAGAAAAAAAACACTCCCATAATTAGTTGTGGCTTATAGGATGAAATTAGGCCATTCTCCGGCTGGACCACACCACCCACGACATGAGGGATCGAATAAAACGACACGGAAATATAATTATTTAAGATTCGGGTGATATATACGTTTGTATGTATGTTGAACTTCTTTCGCACCGCACGTAACCAACCATGCTATTCATAGGTGCCGAGTGGGCAGGGCGGACGGTGCAGAATAAGATGGATAGCAGAGATAAAGCAGAATAAGATTAAATAATCAAGAAATTGCAATCCAATAAAATGCTTTATCGACTCGTCTCGGTTATATTCAAAACTCGATTTTGTCCAGAAATAGTTGATAACCTATGGTCCTGCAAAGGAAAATAATAAAATTCCATTGTCATACTCTTCTCACAATCCTCCCATACTCGGAGCACGAAAACGAATCTGCTTTTTATGGTATCAATTACGAAGACAATATGTATTGAGTTTTGTTTTATATGCTCTAGGCTTCAAAGAATATTCTGGCGAATTACATGAATAGGATGACCAATTGAAAAGTTAAAACAATGTTAAATTAACCGTGTAAATATTTTATATTTGTTACTCCCACCGATTCGGTGTCGCTATAACTGTAAAGTATGTCTTCCGTGTTCCAAGGGATCCCCCGTTTGGCCAGTTACCCAAATAGTTTCGGTGGCAACAGCCCACAGCCACGAACAGAGTTCGATTTTTACTTAAAACTTTCGTGACCGCAGGAATTCATATTCTTGGTTCTTTTAGTAAAGTCACATAGATAGAAAATAAAAATAATACATTTAAATTTAGTATTTATACAAAATAATATATTTTTTCAATTAAAATTATATTTATTTTTTGTTATTTTAATTTCTATCTACGTGACTTTACCAAAAGAACCAAGAATATGAACAGAGTTCGTATTGGGGTTAAGAGCCTCGACAGCAGCCAGCCAGAAAACTCGAGGCAGATTATTTTAAGATTACAGTAGTTATAATGGACCGTGTTAAAAGTTTAATCGGTTCAGGAGTCACTCAAACAGTCATGCGGCTCTAAGGGCTGCTTTGTTACGTTATTCACATCAAGTTCAAGTTCATTTATTAGGTATAGCCCTGTGAGCCATTCGGCTCTTGAATCGGGTGCAACCGCAACAAACAAAAAACAAAAACATGAACAAGAAAACATCTTAAAGTGACTATGTGCAAACAGAAAATCCAAGAAAAGACAGCAAAATATTGCAGAAAAAGCACCGTACACGAACACTGTGTGCAAAAATCCCAGTGGCATGCAAGTCAAACAACAACTACAAGACAACTTAGATTAAGGCCATCAGTCTAACTCTGTACTACAACAAACAAACGTGGCCAAACCGAACTTTTCGAAAATCACTAAAATAAAGCCATAAAAGCAATGAAACAGTGGTCATAGGAACTGTGATCGAATTTTCACAATAAACGACGTAAACAACATGTACCACCAAACCTTGCAGCCATAGCTGGCTGCATGAGTCACTCCACAACAGCAGGAGCATCAGTCGGAGTGTCAACATTTTTCAATGCACCTTTAAGATCAGCACACTAAATCAAAACACAGATCATACTTTGCAGCGATCATCTGGAGCGAAACATTTGATTTTAGGCCACTGAATAGCAGTGACAGCTCGGGATGTACAACTCCTCTAGAGCAGGTTTGAGTGAAGATCTCATAGGTAGTGATTCAAGTTGCAGTTTATACTGGTAGGAACGAAGTGGACCAGACCACCAATAGATTAATGTGTCCGTCCGTCCGTCCGTCCGTGGGAGGGGTGGTGTTGAGGGTGGTGTTGGAAATGAAAGACTACGAGTCTTTAAATCTCACAGCGTTTCTTGTCAAAACAAACACTTTTAATTAACGTTACACTAGAATACAGTAATTTTTTCTTTAACTCCTCTATACCCGGTCGATATCTCTGTACCGGTACTAAGTATTATTCCTACCAGCCCACCCCGCAGGGTCCTGTTTGGCAATAGCATTCCAGACCCTGGGGGCATCAATAGCATGCATTGGGACTTGAAATAATGAGTTGAATGGCTCTTGTTATTTTGGTTGCCGACCCCTGGTCTAAGCGAATTAATATAACTTTTATGAAGAGTGGATTGACCACACACAAACTATTCCTCCCGTAAATGCAATGTGATATCTAATTTTACTTTTAATGCAAATTCGTCATACTGTTCAATTATGCAAGAATGTATTACTCAACAGTGACGAGGTGTACATTTATTTGCCTATTAAAGGCAGTTAATGAGTATACTTTTTAAATGATTATCAGGCCCCACAGTGCAAAAAGGTCCTCATAGCCACGTTCTCTCTGGCCTCGGTGTGCTTGTGTCACGTGTCCCCTGGTGCGAGCTCGTCATTTCCCCTTCCGGTCCCTCCACTCCCACCTCTCTCAGCCCCCTCCTTCATCCCCCCCCCCTCCTCCCCCCAGGTTCCGACATTTCCGATTCCGGTCCCCCTCCCCTTGTTGACAAGACCCGCAAGCCCCCTCCAGCCCCGCCCCTCGAAGCCCCGCCTTTCCCTCGTAAGCCCCGCCCCTCACCCCACTAGGCCCCCGCCCTTTTCGCCTGCGGCCCCGCCCCCCCGCCCCCTACAAGGACTCGGCCCGCCCACTCCGGGCCCCGCCCCCCGCGCGCGGTGCAGCTCGGGAGCGCCGCGTCCATTATGGTCGCCCTCGTCAGCGCCGCCATGTTCGCGGAGCCGCTTTGTTGTCGCGGCGCGCGCCGCGGCCGCCGCTGAGGAGACTGAGGCGAGGGCGCGAGCGGCAACGCGACGACGGAGAGCAACAGTCGCTGTGGGTCGCGGCAACGGTGCTGGTGGTAGTTGTGAGGGTGGTGAGGGAGCGGTGGTGCGGGCGGGATGAGGCGCCACGCGGTCCCAACGCAGCCTCCGCGCCTCTTAGCCAGCGCCTAGGGATTATCGTGATCCGTCACAGTTGGTATTTTACATTTGTTTTTATTAATTGCGAGGTTGTGTGTAAAATTGTGCAAACGGAGTTGGGTGTCATTTTTAGTTATCGTTTGTAATTTTTGTTATATTTTTTTTTACTGGATTATATATTTAAATTTGTTTTCGCGGGGAGGTAATTTCGGGCTCCATCTCCTCCCCGCCTCTGCTGGGGGAGGAGGAGGGGGGAGGAGCGGCCCCTTCTGGAAGTCGGAGCGGCGAACATAAGCACGTGGCAGAGTCTTCTGCCTCTGGAAGAAGCGTCTACCACCTATGGCAGAAAGAAACAAAACGACTGCTACAACAATAACTCCTACAGAGGCAGATGTTGGTTGGGTAGGCGGATGTGCTGCCGCTTAGAGACCACAGGAGAATAAGCAGCGTCTACCGCTTCAAGAAGCAGAGGCGGTGGCGTCCGGCGGTGCGGAATCTGCTGCCGGAATAAAGATTTGCAGAGGGAGGAGCGTCCGCGTCTTCCGGAAGCAGAAGCGGGGCGCTGTGAGCAGGCGGAGGCGGCGTGCGGAATCCGCCCCCCACCTCCCCCCATCTCCCCCGCCCCCAGTCCCCCCCGCCCCCTCCCCCATCTCCCCCCCGCCCCCTCCCCCAGTCCCCCCCCCGCCCATCCCAAGCCCCCCCCCCATCCATCCCGCCCGCGCCCGGCGCGGCCTGGCGGCGGCCGCCATGAGCAAGCTGGGGCTGTCGTTCCGTGCCAGGGCGCTCGACGCCTCCAAGCCGCTGCCGATTTTCCGCGCGGAGGATCTCCCCGACCTGCAGGAGTATGTGTCCATCAACCGCACCGTGCCGCAGATGCCCACGGGCATGGAGAAGGAGGAGGAGACGGTGAGTGAGCAGCGCTCGGGTTAAGACGAGTGACGGGTCGACCGATGCGGATGTGTGCTGTACGGCGTCGTGACCGCCGGGGCTACCTCTGCTCCCCTTCGCCGCCGTGTCTCTGACCCCGTGTCTCTGTCTCCGTGTCTCTGTCTCCGTGTCTCTGTCCCCGCTGGGGGTGTTTTGTGGAGGCTCCGTGTCCGGCTTGACGCGTCTTTGTGCGATAGCGTCACGTGACGTACGGGTCACGTGATGCGCCATTTTGGGATCACGGAGGAGTGTCGACAGCATGTGTAGAGACAGGGTAACGTGTAGTGTGGAGACAGGGTAACAACGTGTGTGTAGTGTAGAGACCGAGTAACAACGTGTGTGTAGTGTGGAGACAGGGTAACGTGTGTGTAGTGTAGAGACAGGGTAACGTGTGTGTAGTGTAGAGACAGGGTAACGTGTGTGTAGTGTAGAGACAGAGTAACAACGTGTGTGTGTGTAGTATGGAGACAGGGTAGCAACGTGTGTAGTGTAGAGACAGGGTAACGTGTGTGTGTAGTGTGGAGACAGGGTAGCAACGTGTGTGTAGTGTAGAGACAGGGTAACGTGTGTGTAGTGTAGAGACAGGGCAACGTGTGTGTAGTGTAGAGACAGGGCAACGTGTGTGTAGTGTAGAGACAGAGTAACAACGTGTGTGTGTAGTGTAGAGACAGGGTAACGTGTGTGTGTAGTGTAGAGACAGGGTAACGTGTGTGTGTAGTGTAGAGACAGGGTAACGTGTGTGTAGTGTAGAGACAGGGTAACCCCAACGTGTGTGTGTAGTGTAGAGACAGGGTAACCCCAACGTGTGTGTGTAGTGTAGAGACAGGGTAACCCCAACGTGTTTGTGTAGAGACAGGGTAACGTGTGTGTAGTGTAGAGACAGAGTAACAACGTGTGTGTGTGTAGTGTGGAGACAGGGTAACGTGTGTGTAGTGTAGAGACAGAGTAACAACGTGTGTGTGTGTGGAGACAGGGTAACAACGTGAGTGTAGTGTAGAGACAGGGTAACAACGTGTGTGTAGAGACAGGGTAACCCCAACGTGTGTGTGTGTAGAGACAGGGTAACGTGTGTGTAGTGTAGAGACAGAGTAACAACGTGTGTGTGTAGTGTAGAGACAGAGTAATAACGTGTGTGTGTGTAGAGACAGGGTAACAACGTGTGTGTAGTGTAGAGACAGGGTAACAACGTGTGTGTAGTGTAGAGACAGGGTAACAACGTGTGTGTGTAGTGTAGAGACAGGGTAACAACGTGTGTGTGGAGACAGGGTAACAACGTGTGTGTGTAGTGTAGAGACAGGGTAACAACGTGTGTGTGTAGACAGGGTAACATCGTGTGTGTCGTGTAGAGACAGGGTAACAACGTGTGTGTGTAGACAGGGTAACAACGTGTGTGTGTAGACAGGGTAACAACGTGTGTGTGTAGAGACAGGGTAACAACGTGTGTGTGTAGAGACAGGGTAACAACGTGTGTGTGTAGACAGGGTAACAACGTGTGTGTGTGTGTAGAGACAGGGTAACGACGTGTGTGTAGTGTAGAGACAGGGTAACGACGTGTGTGTAGTGTAGAGACAGGGTAACGACGTGTGTGTAGTGTAGAGACAGGGTAACGACGTGTGTGTGTAGAACAGGGTAACAACGTGTGTGTGTAGAGACAGGGTAACAACGTGTGTGTGTGTGTAGAGTAGAGACAGGGTAACAACGTGTGTGTGTGTGTAGAGTAGAGACAGGGTAACAACGTGTGTGTGTGTGTAGAGTAGAGACAGGGTAACAACGTGTGTGTGTGTGTAGAGTAGAGACAGGGTAACAACGTGTGTGTGTGTGTAGAGTAGAGACAGGGTAACAACGTGTGTATGTGTAGAGACAGGGTAACAACGTGTTTGTGTGTAGATGCTTGCGAAACATGGAGCCATTTACATCAACATGTGCTGCGCCGGTTTAAATATTGAGATCTGGACAAAGTGCCATCAATGAGCTCCACCGGCAGTCGAGGTAGCGTTGGATGGGTCAAGTAGACCGCATGCCAAAACAGCTTCTGTTCGGCAGGATAGAGGGGACTAAATGGGCTCGGCACGGGCTAGAGAAGAGATTAACTGTTGCGGTACAGGAGGATGTGGAGCCGAGTGGACTTGCCCATGACCACCACCAGCGGTGTCAAGATCGGCCTCTGTGGGGAGGAGGAAGCTCGTGAAGGACGCTGCTGGGCAATGGGAGGTAGTCACCCTCCAACGAGCGGAGCGCCGGTCAGCTAACATTCAGAAAGTTGGCACAGTCGGGGACACAGGTGGTGCATCTGTCTGCCTGTCATATCAGTCAACCCATGGCACCTGGGGCTGCCCTGCCAGGGACCCTTCGGCAGTTCACGTGGAGTACTGTATGTAGACAGTAACTTGTAGTGTGTCTAGACGCAGTACCGCGTGTCGTGATTGTAAGACTTACAATATCTGTCTTGAAAATAGAGTTTAGACAACTGAACTGTGTATGTAGACAGTACCACATGTACAGACAGCAGGAGCACATGTCTGATTACTGGTGGTGGGGTCTGTCACAGTCCTACGTGTGTATAGACTGAGTGTATATTATGGATGAGTGTGTATGTTGAACTTCTTTCGCACCATATGTAGCCAACCGCTGTGCATACAATGACCACTGTGCACACAGGACCTAGTGTGTACAGGGTACACCTTGTTTCATGTATACTGTACCTGCCATGTGCACATGACCACCCGCAGTATGTTGACGTTTCGTATGGCCCATGGGCCAGCAACCAAAATAATGAGAGCCATTTTTTCAAGAGCCGCAATGCGTGTGTGAATACGAGACGATGGTCCTGAATAGCAAGTCAGGAAGGAGTCCTTAAAGTGCTGCAGGTTTTCGACCCCTGGCCTCGTATGCAAACGCGTACCACTCATCGACTTGACAAACACGCACACCTTACGTATATTGTACTGTGGCTACTATATACATCTATATGCGTGTGATGTGTGTACTATCCACAAAACATACTCGATATAACACCGACATTGTACGTCGATGTTATATATATACTGTACACTCAATGCATTGCATTTGGTGTGTACTGAAGTGCTAGTTCAGTGGTTAGGACACTGCGCTGTGAACCCGGCGAGCCGACTTCGACTGTACTCGTTCGTGCATGTGCCTGTTGGATAGATCTTGTGTGTTGTTGGGTAAAGGGTGTCAGAACCAGCCTTGGTCCTCACCTAGGTTGAATCAGCCTTTTAAATTAGAGCGTAGTGCAATTGGGAGATAAAGGTGCCTTTGAGTGCTGTTGACCACATTTTGGGCTTGCTAACAGAAGGATTTTCCCAACAGTGCTTAAGGATACACGAGTTGCGTCTGTGCTGTGTAGTTGGATGGCCGGTGAAGTGCTTCTGTATGGCCCAGTTCATTTGTGAAGGTGATCTGTATTAAAAAATTTGGAATCTGTTAGGTGTGTGAGTTTGTAATTATGGGCAGTTCATAAATGTGTTTTTTTTACATTTGCAGAGGCCCAAAACTTTCGATGCTCTAACTCATTTCTTTAATTGAGCAATGTTATTATTTTCACTTGAAGAAAGCAGATGGTATGGAATTCCAAAGTACCCCAGTGCGAGGAAAGCAGAAGACAAAGGTTTACGTGAATAAATGAATGGGTGAGTTGGTGTGTAATCTGCACTGTGGTGGTATCTTAATACAGTGTGGATGAAATGAAAGAGTCGGACTGGTAGACGGAGTCCACAGCATGGTGGAGTCATCAATGATTGAAGTTCATCAAACAGTCAACAAAATCGAAGAGTGATAATGATGCGATTGCCCGCTAGTGAGTGAGTAACTGGAACCAACCTGTACGCATATGTGCGTAGTGTGGTGTTTGGTTCGGAGTTCGATTCCCGCTCATGGCTAATACCAGTGACGATTATGTGAACCGGTCGTGGGTATCTCTTAGGTTGGCTCGGCCTCAAAGAGTACCTGGTTCAATGTATAAACAAAGTCACTCGTTAGACACGCGGCTGGGGGTGGTGTTGACCACCCACTCTTTCGCAGACCGTGCCGTCTTTATAAGTACTCTGTAGCAACACTTGCCCACAAAGTATGTTATGTCAATACGGGGGGGGGGGGGGGGGGACTGTTGTCCGGCTTTAGTAATGTGTGTGTTTGCTAAGACGTATGCGCAATTCACGTAGCTTGAACTACTTAATCTCAGCAAAGCATGGCGACACTCCGCTCTGGCCACACTTTCAGAACAACACTGGTGCACAATTATTAAAACAATTAATCATGGTAACATCTGTACTATAGTACTCTTATGTAGCATTACTAATTAATTATTGAATTTTCTAAATAGTACCGAGAAGTTAACTGCAATTGTACTTTTTGTACAATGCATTTCATACAAGAATAACTGGTAAAGTTGCAGGTGAGAATAAAATTAGATTTTTGAAAAAGAGCTATGCAATATAATACACTGAAATTGTGTTGGAATTTTCAGTGTACGGTTGAGTAAGGGCTTGTTATGACTGGAAGGAAGCAAGGAACCCATGTTATTGATGCTGAGATTTGACTTTGAAGCAAATTTCCTGGGCTGATGGAAGACGAAACCTAAAAAGGCTGCGCGTTTCATGCAAGGTGCTTCTTATTTCGGATCACCGGATCGCAGTCCCGTTTTATTCCCGGCTGGTCTTGGCTTGCACTGCAATACGCGAGGTGGAGTGGTCGGCGCACTGCGCTGTGCTCCCCGCTACCTTCGTTCGATTCTGGGCCACCTCACAACATTAGTGGTGAGTCATTTGAACCGGTTCCTCACCAGAGTGGTTAAGTCTGCCCAAACAACCATGATAGTGGCGATGTGGGGAGTCCATCATTAGTTTTACAAAGGGCTTAAATTATTGTGAATTTGATTTAGCGTTAAAATCTGGTGATGTGGCTGCAGTGGTTGCCTGTATTACTATGCCCCCCATAACATATAATTTCCTCTCTAGACA